TTTTACTAGTAAAAATCAAAACTTATACTATAATAATTATTTTTATTAAAGTGATTATAATGATAAACATATGAATCATCATCATCATTATCGTCTTACAATAAATTATGTTTTAAGTTGGAAGCAAAAGCCGGCACAGACGGACATTCTCCCATGTGTACTGCTCTCATATTTCTGCCCCTTCATGCCTTTTTTACCGATATTATAGGCAAGTGTAGAGGCGGCCCCTTGACTTGAAAAACAAATTCAGCATTAAAAATTGCAAAAAAACAAAAGTACAGGGGCTTTATTTTATTTATTTATCTTTTTGCACTCAAAATTAAAAACGCCATCATCCACTTAGAGCGACCCACGTGCGCCGACACGTGGCTCGTTTTCCCAGACCGATGTCTTGGCCTTTCGATGGTTGCTCGTTTACCCCATAAAAATCTATCCCTTCTGGCACGTGTGTACACGTGTGTGGGAGTTTTAGCTGGTCTGTTCCCTTTTTTTTTTATTTTTCAGTCACGTGCGCCGCACGAGTCCATTTGTCGGTCTCCTCCCTCGGTACTCCTCGACGACGCCGTCAGGTCATACACGCAAAACCACAACAATCCAAAATTCGCAACTAAAAAAGAAAAGAAAATTTTTTCCAAAACCCGAAACCAACCCTCCATTAAACTAGTCTAAAATCAGCCTTACCCTGTAATGCCATGGGTAAAACCGTCTTTTTACGCGCTGCCCAGTAACATTGGCCACAATTAGGAGGAACAAAATTTTCACACTTGCCATTTTTATCAACAAAAAATGATTAAAATATTTATCGGGCGGGCGAGAAGTTTTAAATATTAAAAAATAAAATAAGAAATATTATCTTGTTAGAAATTCTTAATTGGTCAAAATCTCGTGCTACTAGCGGGTGATTTTGAGCCGTGCGATGTGAATACTTACAGACGTATTTGAGATAACAAAAGAAAAAGAAAAAGAATAAAAACAAAAGTCGGTGTGGGACCACTTAAAACCAACCTTGACGGTTTAGAACCACATCCACCAAAGGAGCTGACTCGGAAACTATTACAGCTAGATTTTGCTTTCCCCTTTGTTTTTTTCAAAGAACATTGGTTTGCCTTTTTTTTTTTTGTCTTAATATAATTAAGAAAACTTTATTTTATTACTTTTGAAAAAAAATATGTGCAAGGTCGATATTTGTAAATTTTTTAAAATCTCTTTACTTATTCAATATGTAATTAAAATATATATTTTAAACATGACATTATCTTATATTTAATTCAAAAACGATTTTATCTTAGTTGATCACTTTACTTATATCTCATTTTGATATATTTGACATAAAATCAAATCTGTCTTAATATTATTTTGAAAAAAATTAACATTATGAAATATGCAGCATCCACGTTTATAAATATATTAATATTCTCTATCTATATAATATAAAATTAAAACATTATATTTATATTTTTGAGATATTTGATGTGACATTTAAATTTATATTTGATACATTTAATTGTCAATGAATAAATTTCACATCTTATCAATGAATCAAATGTAATCGTTTCATGTTTATGAAATTGACAAATTATAATATGTTAATAGAGTGTTAAATATAAATATTTATTAAATTATATTTTCTAGTTTGATAATTGGCCTGGGAGGAGATGGCACGAAGGTAGTGGTCACTTTCATTATCCGATTTTTGACACATCCAAACATCCTATTCATCAAAGGGAAAAAGAGGGTCACTAAAATCTTATATAGCCAAAGAAGATAAATTAAATTAATGGGATTAATCAAAAACGGGATTAACATTGACCTGGTCGCATTACCCCAGCTGGGCCGACTTCCAAAACGCGGCGGTCGACAAGTCCAAATTACTTTATTGCCCCTATAAGAAATGTCGGGTCGCTATGATTTGACAAGGGTTGATTTGGGTAGGCGAAAGTGCCTTTCTTTTTTGAATAAGCATTCATTAATCAAAACATGGAAAACAGCGTTTTAGGACCAAACGGGGGTCAAAGGATGCTATTATCGTATACGACCAAAACTAATGGTGGTTGTTGTTTTTGCCTTTTTTATCTATCTGACTGCTGCTTTGGTATGTTTTTTTTAAAGGGTTTGACCACATTTCTATTTCCATTTTTTCATCTAAAAAATTTTATGATTTACTTTTTTTAAACATTATTTCATACATCACAGGCAAAATTCATCAACGAATCTAATAGAAGGACAGTTAAAGTGAATATTTATTTCCGAAATTGTAACACTATTGAAAAAATTCAAATAAAGAAAGTTTTATATTTGATAAAACATTTTTAACCATACAGTGTTATTTTACTTATTGTTTGCTCTACCTCGTTTTGAAATCTTTTTCCCTGCATCTATCGATGCTCGTCCTCGGCATTTTCTCCATCTCATTATTTTATTTACTTAATATATTATAAATCAATAAAATCAATATATAATATAATATAAATATACAAATACGTATGTCATTTACGATCAATCGATAATACATGGAATATAAACCTTAAAACTGGTGTTTTTGCAACAAATGAGATTGGTTAAGATACCGCGGGAAAAGAAGAGGAAAAGTGATTAGGGGAGATAAAGAAAAGAAGGTGTCGGGGGTGGATGGTGATGATGATATTTGAAGGATGTAGGCAAGAAAGTGCGAAGCCGACCCCCTATATCTCTAACCTATAAATTATAGTATGCATAATTAAAAGTCGAAATGATTATTGAGAATCTTGGCACAGTGAAAAAGTTTATCAATATCTCTGGTTATTAATTGAGAATTTTTGCTGTCTTCCTCTTTGTCCCTCTCTCTCTCTCTATCCCCAAGAGGGAAGGGAAAGAAAGAAAGAAAGAAAGAAAGAAAGAACGTATACCAAACGCAATTGCCAGCTTTGCCAGGGCGTGCTGCTGCCTGAATGTTACTTCATCCCTTTGCAACTGTCAACAGCGTGACGGTCTTTAAATTTAATTACTGCCAATCGAAATAAAAAGGAGATAGTAATTATATTTAAAATTTAACGTAAATAAATTATTTAATTTTTCATTTGATGATAAGATTTATTATATTTTATAAAATATAATATTTGATATTTAATATTAATGATTAGATTTTCATTTCATGTACGTGTATAATATTTGCACAATGAGGTGATATGAATTTGTACACCTATAACATTCAATCCGATATATGCTTTGATTGTTTTAATTAAAGAAAATATATTCAAATTTTATTTTTTAAATAAAAATCATACATCAACTAATGAATTAAATATTCAAATATCATATATATATTTTGATTGATTATTATATATATAAATAATGTAAAAACTATTTCATATATAAACAAATATTATAATAATTTGTAAGCAGAAAAATATATTTTTTAATCATATTGAGTAAATTAATTATATATAGTTTCAAAATTTGCATAAAAAACAACATCAATTTGCATCGAAAAAACATGATATATTAACCCTGGTTTTATTTTTTGAAATTTCATGTCGACTATATCAAATATTGCCAATTTTTATATATATATATATATTCTATTATTACTACTAATATTTTTGTTTTAACTTAATTATCCAAATATTAATTCTCTTAGATGCAAGAAAATTTGAGAGTTACAAGTCTACATACATCAATATCAATCCAATTAATCCCTCTATTCAAATAAAGTAAGAATCAAAAAAGAAAATATACACTGTGTCAAGATGGAAATTAGGTTGAAAATTTCAAGTATTGAATAGTAATTTACTATATTAATAATTTAGATTTATTGTCGAGATTTTCTATGTTTAACTCCTAGATGTATTAAATGAACCGAATTTGAAAATTAAAAAAATATAAATCATAATATCATATAAAATTAAGGATTTATATTCTATATGTTATCTATGTGTAATATTTATATATTATTACTTAATTATAAAATATCACCTAATAAATATATAATGGTACAAAATTTTGAAAATAAAAAATTTAACATATTATTTTTAGACTATTTTGACTTAAATTTATAAATTTTTAAATTGATAAAAATTAAGAAAAAAAACGTTTCTTTTTATTTCTTCCTGGATTTAAATGAGCTAAAATGTAACTTAGCAAATTGACTAGTCAAGATAGCAAAGTCCAGGGACAATTATTATGATTATTATGATTATTATGATTATGATGATAGATAATGTCTACTTGACTGGTCAATTTCGATAATTAATTACTTAAATTAATCTCAAGCTTAATATTTTTTTCCCTTCCCAAAAAAATTACGACTGCAATCAAAGCCCCCCGGTTACCCTACCGCAGGGAATCAAAACTCCACTAACGGAAGCTGGCAAAGCGTAACGAAAAATTGACCCCCAGCCCCCGAGAAATTAGAACAGTAAATAAGACGTAAGGGTAACGGAGTCCTTCGAAAATTAATAATAAAGAAACCAAAAAGCGGAAAAGAAAAGAAAGAAACAAAAGAGAGGGACAGTTTTTATTCTACAACACTGGTCAACACGTGTCTCAACCGGCTCTAACCGGTTATCGGTTGTTTTCTTCCCATTTTGGGCCCCACTACCACCACCGCCACCCCGCCCCCTTCCTTTCTCCGCACCACCACGCCCTTTCCCCTCTCCCATTTTTTTTCTTTTTTAAAAAACTCCCGAAAACAATTTTCTTAATTATTTTATTTTTTTTCGGAAAACAAAATTCAAAAAACAATTGTTTTTGGGAGAGAGAGAGAGAGAAGGGAGGGGGGGCGGAGAGGAAGTTTAAGAGAGATAAAGGGGACCTCTTAAAGATTTTGCTCTCGCAAAGCCAAAACCAAAGCTCCCTTGCTCTGATTTGCAGAGAGAATCCAAAGGACAAGCACAGCCAGCCTATAGCGAAAGAGAAACCAAAACCAAAACAAAGAACAAACAAAAAAAAGGATTAAACGAAGAAAAGAACGAGAACGAGAAGAACAGAAAGAGCAAAGTGAAAGCAAAGCAAA